TAGTATTTATGGTGGTTTTGACTGTTAAACAGTTTGAAAATGTTTTGACTTCTTGGGTAATATATTTTTTATTTTGTAAAGAATGGCTCATTACAGAAAGAAACATAGAGCCATGAACAAAATAATTGAACTTTAAAGTAGTTTAAGGATAAAGCAAGTTGATGTTGGACTCTGAAGAGAAATTATTTGGAATCTTAAGGAAATGTGGCAGAGTATGAATTTCGGAGCTAGATAGACCTCTGATGTAAGTTTTCTCCAGAAACATTTAACTGCTAACTATGAGTATAGTGCAGAGAATTAAGATGCGTTTTATTTGTTTGTTTTAGTGTTTTTGGTGGAAGTAGAATCATGCTAGGGAGTTGGAAACATTTGCTAGGTGATGACAGCAGGTGGACTCCAGGCCTACATAGAAGTCATGGAGAAGAGCTGGTGGAGATGAGAAGGCTCCTGCACACAGAACGCTTCACTCAAGTTGAGCTTGGCAGATGAGAAGTGGAATGTGTAAATTCAAGATTTTCATAAAGTGCCAGTGCCAAGGTCACTTTTTTATGCATCTCTTTTATAAAGACTAACAGAAGAGTTGTGAGCTGACTGCCGGGCGCTAAAAAACAGGCACCCTGAATATACTGATGGTAGGAGAGCCTGTTAGGTTATGGGGAAGTTTGCTTTGACTTCTCTGAACTGCCTGTTTCCTCAGTCTGTTTTAGACTTGGAATAAGAATTGTTAAGATGCTACCAACTTTCTTTTCCTACAACAAGGTTAGTTAAATCCTATTCTGCTTCTCACTTAATCTTTCTATGTCTCATTCCTTGTTAGCATGCTTTATGTTTTTGGTGGGTAAGTTCTTTTCTTACAAGCCCTCCTTCCCCACTTTCCTACCAATTCCTTGATTATACACCTGCAACGCAGTATTATTCCATTGTCTTAACCCAGAAGTGTTCTTATCTTTTCTTGATAGAGGAAACAGAAGCCATGGACTTCATTATACTGTATGGCTTAAAAGCCTTGAATATATATTTGAATATATTTTCTTCCTGTTGGTATAGTGTCCTGTTGCTCATTAGGGTTTTGTAGTTCTCCATAACTTATCTGTTGCAGGATTTGCTATGTTGGTCTCTCACTTGTATATTCATTTTGTCACCCTATAGTTACATCTTGCAACATATATTTGTTATCTTTTGTCTTAAACACCAGTGGTGTTCTAAAAGAAGGCTTGATGACTTGTGATCCACTTTCTCTACCAGTGATCTTTCTTAATCACTAGATAAGTGGTTGCGGCACTAAGACACGACAAATAATGTTTACAGCCTGTTGTGTCTGCCAGAATATGGACTGAACTCTAAACAGGATCATGGAGTAGCCAAGGAGACTCACTTCAAGTGTTCTTATGGGTTTCATGGTGAGTTCAGTTTCATTAAACTTAGAAAGGGCAAGTCTTCAGTGAAATAGTAGAGATTTCCCTATGTTTGAATTGACAACTTGCTGATTAACATGCCATCAGCCAACGGAAATAGAGGTAATTGGGGTCTTGCCTGAGATCATTGCTGATTAGAATATTTCATCATGTGACTTATGCCATACTTGGGGCCAGCAGACAAAGGAGAGTATACAAGCTATAGGAAATATCCTCTATAGTAAGAATACTTGAGTACAGGCCTTGTTGGTTGAGCTGAAGAACAATTTGAATTTTCAAATACTATCTGAGACAGTTTCTAGACTAAACTTTCTATAAAACAACAACAGCAACAAAAAACCCCAAACATTAGCAAAGAAAGGAGTGGCCAAAATTGGCACCAGATTAATAATTGACTAGAAGGAAAAACTATGATATGAAGGCCATTAGCCTCCAAGAGACAAATACAGAATATTGAGTGTGGCTAAGAAGAACCAATAAAAGCACGAAGTTATATTGGGTACATTTTGTAAATACTAGAGGAACATTCCAGCAGTTGAAAGAACTTTGGTTCTAGGCAACACTGGAGGAAAATATAGTTCTAGTTGGATTTTTCATCTGGATATTTATTTTTTAATTTGTGCCAGTGACAATCACTGTGTTAATAAGCAAAAGCACTAGCTATACTCCTACTGGGGATGAAGATATAGATAATAAACTTTTTTGGGGTCACAAATGAAACAAAAAACATGAAGCAGAGGAAATAATGTTTTGGAATGAAGTGACCACAGAGTTTACCATTTTACAGCATTAAGAACCAAACCCAGGGCCTTCTACACTCTAGGTAAGTGTTTTGCCATTGAGCTACATCCTTGGCCCAAATTTACCATTTTATATGGATGGCCAGAGGCAAATAAAACAACATTTGTGCAGTAGATGTAGAAGTTAGCTTTGTGAATATCTGGGGAGAAAGCACTCCAGGTAGAGTTCCAAAGCCGTAAACTAGGATCATAGTTCTATTTTGAGAACTGACAAGACCACTGGGCAGTGAGGGAGTAGATTGAAATCTGAGAGCAAATGCAGCCAGGAAACAAGATTCTATAATGCTTAGGGACCAAACAAGACCTTGGCTGTGCCTCTTCCTTGTTTAATACAGAAGTTGTTGCAGAGTTTTTGAGAGGAATGATATTTATGTTATTTAGGAATCACTGACATGTTAAAGAATGGACCAATGTACCATGATTATTTAAAAGGGGGAAAACCCAGGAGGACCAGATCTTTAGTTACTGCAGTAATTTAGACAGGTAATTAAAGCGGAAAAGATTTTGAAGCTAATTTGAAAGTATAGAGAGTGTATAAGACAATAGAGTCAGCAACAGTCCAACATTTTTGTTTTCTTTTTGCTTGAGGAACTGAGGAAATATTCCTGCTGACTAGAATGGACAAGATTGTATAAGTATGAAATTTGGAGTGGTAGAGCTGAGAGGGTCAGTTTACTTTTGAAATATTTGAAATGCCAATTAACTATGGGAAAAGAGTTAGGTCTTTGGGTTTTAGGGTAAAGAAGAATGTACAAAGGAAAAAGAAAAGCACATTTCTAGACTTCAGCTTAAGACTGCAGCCAAGTCACTTCAGATAAGGTTATCCTTTTCATATATTTTTAAGTTTTTTATTTTTTATTTTTTGGCACAAGGTTACTCTTGAATGTGTAGGTGATCCCCAGTAGTAGCTTTATCAGAGGAGCATGCCCCTAAAAGTTTTAAAATAACAAGTTAATCAAAATGAATATCCTGTGGTAGAGAGTAGCTGGGAATCTGTAATATGAATGTG